CCCCCCCCCCCCCTCGATCACCCACCTTAGGCGCTCCTGAATCATCCTGTGTGTACCCGCATTCCTGTGAACTAACCAAAAAGTATACTCGTGACCTAATCTCCATGTCAGTGTTAGAAACTAGGCTTCTTATTTGTATCGTTTTGTATAGAATTTGTCGTGACTTTATAATTTTATAAATAAATAATGTTATAAATGTTATAATGCTTCATGCAGTATAGAATATTATGCAATAATGAAATGAGAGAAATTTTTCTCTTAATTTCATTTTATATAACAAGTATAGCATATTAAGAACAACGATATTACTATTGCTCTTTTAAAGAATGAATAATTTAACATATTGTTTATCTTTTAAAAATACATACAAAAATTTTAATTCTGTACATATTTAAGATAATGAAATATTTTTATATCCAACATTTACATCTCTTAAATTAAAGGGACAAGAAAATGCAAACATTAATACTGCACATTTGTCCTACTTTTGTACCACAAAAATATACGACAACAATCAAGTAGTAATTGTGAATAATACATACAGTAGCGATTAAGGATTCATCGCGTGATATCTAATAATATCCGTCTCGAATTTTTTTCCTGATAAGATAACCTTAAAGCTACGACCACACCTTGTAGGTGAAGGTCCAGCATGGAGTCAAAAGAACAATCGATCGTTCGATAGGTAGAATAAAAATCGTAATATCTAAACAAAAATACTAATAAATAAACAAACTTAATGATAATGTCAAAAAAAAATATTTTCAACATACTGTTGTAATAATTTGATATTAATAGCATAATTTTTTTCTTTATTAATAGATTCCATTCTTTGCAGTTTCGAAAGATCCTTTTTATCTTTATAAATATTTGCTATCGTTCGTTGCTTTGTTGAATGAAACAGACAGTTCATGTGGTATTACATGAGAGATTACATAGATAAGACTGATCTGTGTCATCAGATACTACTTCATTTTTGTTCTGATATTCTTGGTCGTCCTGTCCGCGTGGTATATCGAAAGATAAACGAGATATCGATCGCATGTAAATTGTCGAAAGTCAAAGTATTACTCGATATCGAATAGATAAGAACGTCTAAAATTTTGTTTCCGACACTGATACCAAAATATCGGCGCCACTCATTGCTACATAACGTTAAATTGACACGTAACCACAATAAAGTATCTTTGTCATAACTGTGCAAAGAAAAAACAGAAAATTAAACTCAGTTTGTCATCTATGTTTGCGTTAAGACTTCAAGGTCCCTACGCTAATGGAACGCACTCTACAGTGGAAAGAATGAAAAGGGTAAATGTACCTAAAATAGCCTGCAACCGTATCGATTAAACCCTCATCGATTCTCTCGTAAACTTATAAATCACGCAGCTAAGTTCACGTTCAACAGTCGCTTCTCGTTTATAAGAAATTAGTAATCTACTTACCCAGTGACATAATTTTCCCGGAATAACATACCATACGAAAATCTAACATCAAATTACAATATAAATTTCTTCAAATAAAAAATAATAAATAATGAATATGAAGATAAAGAGTCTATTAGAAGAAATAATACAATCTGAGGAAAATGAAAACAAAGAGTTTCGTTATTTACGAATGTTATTTTTCGGATCGATAGTTATGAAACTGTGTGCTGTTATTAGATTGCGTTTATATAGTGGATAGATATGCATGTACTTTTTGGTATTTCAGCGGAGGTCGCTTCAGCGTCTTTGTCACTTGCTTGAAACTTGAAAACAAATTTTATTTAGAATTGGATGGGATTTTGTAAAATCCACAAGGATAGTGGATTCGTTGAAAAATAGGAGTTAGGTAGAAAAATGAATTAGGTTCAATTGAAGCCTGCCAAAGACTACTTAACAGGTGATTCATTACCGAGCTTTTATCAGACTCCGGACATGTACTTACTACAAAAATCAACCTTCTCGTATTTATACGAATAATAATCGATGAAATATTTTAAGGTAGAGCTCTCATTTACCGATTGAATCAGACTTGTGCAATTTATTAGCAACTGACCAATAATAATATTTTTTATTTTTTTATTTATTTTTTTTTTATTTCTTAGAAGAACCAGGTCTGAAAACTACCAGATAGGCGACGCCTTGCATTAATGCCCCCTAATCATACGCTGTCACTCCATTGTTTCTTTAGAGAAATGCGATAAGAGCGCAAGCTCGCGATTACGAGGCACAAATATTCTTTTGATCGGAGAATACATTTAAATCGTGGAATATGGGAAATGGAATAGAATAGGAAAATGTGCATAGAAGAGAAGAGTCGTTGATATAAACGGCGAATGTTTCATTTGCTTGTGTATTAAGAGTGGTGAAGTAGGAAGATTTGAGCAAGAAATTTAATTTACTCGTACAGAAAATTTTTAATTATTCTATCTGGAATTAATAACACTTACGATAACAACCTTTTAACGATAACAAATAGTATCGTGTAAAATCTTTTAGATACACCTTTTATTTTTGCAGTGTATGGTAACATTGATGTACATATATAGATATGCATGCAAATTATATTTTACAGAATTGTATTTAATAATTATTTGTGATAATCTTTATCTTGTTTCAGGAATACCTTTTTTTTTGTTTTTGCGCTATTAATTATTTTCTTTCTCAGCTTTTTAAATTCTCTAATTGATATGCACGCTTTGCTTGTTTTAGCATATACGATTAGTTAACTTAATCATTTAACGATTGATCGGAAATATAGTCCCTCTCTTTTCCTATCGATTTCTTTTTATTTGCTCACGCCGTTCAGTGTCGTATGCACATTCCTACACTTAGACACGCATGCACGCCTGTAAATCATCTTGCATTACCTCAATGGTGAGTAAACAGTTTTTTTTCGTTCTTACAAATTAATTTACTTCTATTTTTGTCTATTAACCAAATACAAGTTCTTTATTTTATGTCACCTTTTCCTTAATACTATGTGCTTTTCTAACGTATACTCACAAAGAACTTCTAATTTATTTTCTTTTAAATATTTATACTAAATATATTATTAATTAATATTATATTTATTGTATAATATTTATAACACGTATATAAATTTTATCCATTTATATAAAATAAATTAAACGAAGTTTTTATATTTTTCATAAAATTTATAAGTTCTTATATGACACGAAATATTTTACTGTTTCAGATATCAGTTAAAATATACATCTTTAATACTTTCACTAAACTTATTATTAGACAAATATTACTACAGTATTCTTCATATCCTTTTAGTAATCACCGAATAGTATATTCAAATATTGTTATTATAATTCTAAAATACTACTTTTTCCTCATATTACTGACAGCAAATTTTTCCACAGGATAAGAAAGAAGATAGAGCGTGCATGCTGAAGCGAGCGACGTTTAGTGACCCACCCAAGATCGGCTGGGAGCTCCTTATGGTAGCTGAGGGGCGTGGACGATCTTTCCCGAGCGAGATCCAAGGGCTGAAGGGCTGGCCCCGTCGTTGGATCCACTCGGCCAGTACCTACATTTAGAATAAAAATGACCGACCGCAACGAGAACTTCCTATGCAAAACGAAAGATCAATACAGCGTACAATCGGTACCCTACAAGCCTGCCTGCAATTGGAATAACAACAACGATATTCACAGCAATGGATCTGCGAACGTAATCAGAAGAGACGGATTAAGCGTAGTTAAGGATCAAAATTATTATCCACGATCGAACAGTTACCAAAGAGATCAAACGAATTCGAATTATCGTCTACCAAGGAGGGCACCTATCGTTGGTTGGCAAAATGGCAGCCCAACTGTTTTCCCAAGCACTCCATGCGGCACTCCAGATCCAGAAATGCTCGAAACGATCGATTTGTCTCGTTCACAAAGTGTTACATCGTCTACAAAATGTTCAGAAATCTGTCAGGACTCTGGCAACACCGAAGATCTCAGTAGTTTGGCGGATGAAAGGCTTCTTCAGTCTACACCGGCACACACCATCGATAGAAGCGTAGAGTCGTTATCACCCGATAAAGATACCTTCTTAACTACGTCTCTAGAAATCGGTAGAAGTAAGGATCTAAGTTTGCCTGATGATATAGAGGACAAGATTGACCTATTGAGCCCGGGTACAGATTATACAGAGGACAGAATACCACCTACACCTATCGACCACAGCTACATGACCTCACCGAATCTTACCATAGGACCCAGCTCTACCATTAAAAGCGATTTACTAACAACTTCGCAATCAGTTGGATCACATCCTTTCGAAAGAAGCGAAGACTCGGACAATCACAAATGTTCCGAAACCAGACCGATAATCACCCCTAATCCTGGCTATAGAGACGACGATACGCGAGATTCCATCGATTCAGATAGCGCTTTGGAAGACGAATTAACCAGTTCAACAAAAGATGGAAAAAGGAAACCTAAAGTGCCAGATGGCGGATGGGGCTGGGTGGTCGTATTAGCCTCTTTGGTCATTTCCATGATCGCCGATGGAGTGTCCTTCAGTTTCGGGCTCTTGTACATTGAATTTCTACATGAATTCGGCGCATCTAAGTCGAAAACAGCTTGGATAGGTTCCCTGTTTATGGCAGTACCACTACTGTCTGGCCCTATTATGTCCGCCTTAGTTGACCGTTATGGGTGCAGGAGTATGACTATAGTAGGTGGTCTGATCTCAGGATTAGGTTTCGTATTAAGCTGTTTTAGCAACACCATCGAGGTAATGTATTTGACTTTTGGAGTCATTGCGGGTCTCGGTCTGGGTTTATGCTACGTCACTGCGGTCGTGAGCATTGCGTACTGGTTTGACAAAAAGCGAACCCTAGCTGTAGGTTTAGGTGCTTGCGGCACTGGAATTGGCACCTTTGTATACGCGCCTATGACCACGTTCTTCATCGAGGAATACGGCTGGAGAGGTACTTGCTTACTTTTAGCAGGCACCTTCTTTAACATGATCGTTTGCGGTACGGTAATGCGTGATCCAGAATGGTGGATCATGGAACAACAGAAGCAAAACGGAGCAACACCGAAGAAGTCAATTACTAAGTCTGAATGTGATAGATCCAGTATCAGCCCTGTAGACGAATTCCCTGGAGTGGAGGAACTGAGGAGGATGCTAAAGAGCGGACATACGCCGGAATATCTGTTACAGATTCTCAGTACCACGACGGAAGATCCCCAAACAGCAAATGGAGATATTAGGTTCAGAAGCGTGGTTAATCTGCCCACTTTTGTGAAGCATAATGAGAAGGTGAGAAGCTGACCTGGATAAGTATTGAGTGAGCAGAATTCCGTAATTGCTATCCGAGAGCCTGTGAAGATTGGTGACGAAATTCTTACTTTTTTTTCTAATATTTGATCAAAGAATAAAATATCATTTTCGATAAAACGTTGAAAATGAATTTTGCTATTGCAAAATAGTTATTTATTGATTACGTACATTTAATACGTGCATTTTCGAGGGTTACAGGTGCCCGTGGAAGTATTAGAGTCACTATCCAGTAATCCCAGACTCTACAGAGTTATTTTGGAAAACTATCCTAATCTTCTATCATGTAGAAGTTATTCGGATAAAATGCTACAAGATTCCGCTGGAGAAGTTGGCAATAAGAGTGTCGTCACGATGTCTATGAGGTTGTAAATTTGATATTTTAATTTTTATTTCATTTCTTGTTTCTGTCTTATTTAATATTACCATATCATTGTAAATAATATGGCAAAAGATTGTAATACTGTCTGTTTTAATTAAAAGGATCAAACAAGCACCTAACGAACCAAAGCATGACAATTCGTATGTAACAAATAATGTTCACTCAGGATCTGCATGTAACACCATAAAGAATCATATAACTAAAAAAATATCTAAAAAAGAATCGGAGGAAGCTAATCCGCTCTTGGCTAAAGAACTTGAACATACAGTTAGTAAATGAATTGTAAACTATCTACCATATTGAAAATAAGTAAATGATCCTATCTTTTATACATTATTATTTAATTTTTTAGATGAACGATGGACGAAAATCAAAATCGGTATCTAAACAACGTATAGGAGAGCTTAATTGTGGAGTTGTCAGAACAGATTCACTTCCATGGTTAAGGAGACAATTTAATACAAATACTCATTATTTTAAAGATATTAGAGTTCACAGAAATTCGGTCATGTATCGTGGTGCTGCACTTAATTTACATAAATATAGATTAAGGGCTAGTAGTTGCCCTGATATCTATAGAAATAGTATGACTACATTGGCTAAAGAAAATGAAGAGGTACGATAGAAATCATTTATGACACAAGCGTGAAAGAACTTGATTTCCATATATTTTATTAGAAATACGAAAAATGATATATCAAACTTGTGGTTATTTTCATTTTTTTATTTTTAGAAATGGTACAGCGAATTAGTAGATTTATTGAAAGGTATGATGGACTTTTCAATGTTCCTGGAATTGCACTTTTTATTACTCTCACTATCGACGATCTTGCTATTCACTTGGTTTATCGTGCCTTACTTTTATCTTGCCGAACATCTTACAAGAAATAGTTACACCGAGTCTGATGCTGCAAATCTCCTTAGTATTATTGGCATTACTAACACAATTGGAATGGTATGGTTGATTTTATCCATATATTACTTTATAGATATCAGCGTAATTATATTTTTTATTATTACTAGATTGGTCTTGGATGGGCGGGAGATCAACCCTGGATGAATGTTAGTAAAACCTACACGTGGTGTCTGGTTGCCTGTGGTGTAGCAACAATTTTAATGTCAACATTAACTCCTTATTACAATTTATTGATGGTCACTTCGGCAGCGTTTGGCCTCTTCTTCGCGAGTAACTTTAGTTTTACTCCTGTTATATTGGTAGAATTAATACCATTGGAAAGATTTACTACTGCCTACGGCCTTAGTCTACTGTGTCAAGGTATAGGAAATCTTCTTGGTCCACCACTGGCTGGTTGGCTATTTGATATAACAAATTCGTGGGATTTATCCTTCTGTATGGCAGGTAGTTGGATCGTTGTTTCTGGGCTTTTAGTAGGGCTTATCCCTTACACGAAAAATCGGAAAATTTGGGGTAAAGGCCCTATCGAAATGGAACGCGAAAGAGATATTTTAGCTTGAATCTATTATTAATTTGCTTTTAATAAGCCATTATTATGTTAAAAAGAGGTAACGATGGAATTATTGATCGAACATTCACTGTTCTTTTAATCGTTGAAAAACAGAGTATTAGTTGTCGCGTTAATTTCTCTATAATTTAATGATTATTTTAATATCACATTATTTTTGTTCTGTTAGATACTTGTGCCATAATTATATTTTGTATACAGAGATAATATTAATACTTATTGAACCGTAATTTATAAAATGGAACTTAAAATGTACATATGTTAATAACGTGAAATTATTTAAATTGCAATTAAATGTAGTTAATCGTATTTAAAATTAATTGAAAGTCATAGTAATTCATTACTGTGAAAATTAAAGAAATCATTTTTAGAAAGAATTAACAAAAGTGAAAGACACAATGAACTCATCATGAATACATTTAATTAAACTATTTTATGTTTGATAAAATAATAATTAAAAATATTATTTTATCATGAACGTAATGAACGTAATGAACGTAATTGAATGTAGTATTTCATTGGAATTTTATTCTTCGACAGATTCATTTAGTTGACATACAGAAATAATCTTATCTTTTGAATTGCAATTTATCTTTTGATTAATAAGTGCAATACACGACAATTGAGTAAACGTAGTGCAGATATTCATGAACGATAAGACACGAATATTGATAGGTAATTAAAATATATGCATATACACTGTTATTCTGACAGTACAAATCTATGATACATCTTATTTAGTTCTCCTAAAAAAACTAAATCACCAATAATTCGAATAAATTAAAATTCTTACTCAAGATTAATATATTCCTTTTTTTTAAAAAGAGATACACAACATTTTTCTGAAAAATATTCATGATTAAATGGAGCTTACTTTGACGTATATTTACAAAACTTCTCCATATATGTATTAATAGAAATATTGTATTACATTATTACTTTTTACTCGTTACAAAAATATGAACAATCAATAAAATTAAATTTGGACATTTCCGAATAAGAAAGTGACAACCCTAATTAAATTTATGTACTCTCGAAGGTATTAATGGAAGAGTCTTGTGAATACAGCCAGACATTGGTATTCTTCTAAACTTTTGCCTTATAATGTCCACTATAGGTAACAAATTGAGAAATCAAGTCTGCCATGTTAATTAAAATGATGCTCGATTCTATTTCGCATCGTTGTAACGAAACGTCCCAACTGTGATCATAATCATCGTCAGGAAAAAATTATAAAAGTTTTGGAATTAGCAAGTGTATTATAGGTAATAAGTATTTGGCGCTTAACGAAGTTTTTTGAAGTGCAATGTTACCATGTTAGATAACGTAATTAAATATTACAATTAAAAATGATAAAATAGATTCAACGAAGTTCAATTTTTAGAAAAATGTTTGAAGCTTTTGGAAATATTTAATCGAAGGATTTTATGGTGGGAGCATAAATATACGTAACTATAATAACTACACTTCTATGTAAACACTTCCTTTTCGATGAATGTTTAAGTGCTTTGTTAAACAAACCACCACCGATTCAAATATGTAACTTCAATTATACAAGACATGGTTATTACCGTTTTATAACTTATTATATGAAAATTACGTGTAATATGCTTCCAAGTATAAACTAATAATTGATGGCAATCAAATTGTCAGATTAATCGCTATAGAGTTGAACTATTTGTGCAAACTACAGCTGAAACAGAAGTTTTCAGAACTAAAGTGAAATATTCGAATATTTACATTTGTGACATTACAATGTCCGAAAAATATTAATCATTGTAATAAATAATAAAAACATGTTAATTTCATTTTCTTTATGATATATTGTGCATTAATGCAAAACATATTGTTATCAGTGCATTGTTAAAAATGCATGTATAAATAGATACGAATGTGTATATTTATATAAATATATACATACAATATATTACGATATAATCCGTAGTTTGTTTTACCTTACAAGAAACATCTTTATTTCATCATTTCATCGTTTAATTTAATTCAAAAAGATCGATATCAAAAAGGACGGAGACAAAACTAGCATTGCATCGCAAATTTATACAAAAATAACAAATATCACCGTTACAATCTTTTCATTTGTTTCTTGCTTGTACTTCCCAATAAAAAATTGGAAATATTTAAATGTATGGAAATCGAAAATAGTTATAAATATTCATCAGCGCGATTAAATAACAAATTTTAATATACAAATCTTCCCTAAAGATCCAATGGTTCATTCTATTTTCAAATTCGAAATTTCGCTCAATCTCTTAGGAACGAACAGGAAATTATCTTCTCAGAAGATAGACACGTGACCTGAAAAATAATTTATATTACCACAGATAATGTCAGAGACGCGTGATATGTAAAATTAATTGGTTTCCAATATAAAATTACGAACATGTAAACGAATTTAAAATAAAAGAATACGAAAAAGATACGGTGCCGAAATCGAATTATCAGTAACATAATATCATGCAACATTCGAATTCATGTTTGAAATATCTCGTAACATTTACAAAAAGGAATATTTTTTTTTTAGTTATATAAGAAATCAGAAAATATAAAGAAAAAGAATACTAAAAGTATCACGTCACTATTGTCGCAATAGTATATTACGATGATACTATTTCTAATGTCATAACGTAAATATTTTTTGACAAAATGAATATTGTACAATAATACTATCCTTTCAAAAGGACATTCAGGTATTAATCAAAGCCTTGTCTATTTTGTATATTCTCCATACGTTTTTAATGTCCCGGTGAAGTGTTCGGATTAATTGGACTGGGTGTTGAATTTCTGCTGAGAATCGTAGGAACTCCGACCACGTTTGCGAGGTTTTCTACGCTTTTCGGGAAGGTCTTCGTAATGATGGCGTGCTCTGGGCCAATTAACGCATCACCCATTACGCCCATTCGTACACCGCTTCCGTACCTGTGTAGAGTTATCGACATATCTAAAAACATGACGAACACACAGCACGTTTTAATAAATACTGAAAACAAAATATCCAAAAATAAAAAGAAAAAAAAAAATAGAATGCGTATTGAAGAGAATGAAAAAGAAATAATGTTTTCTTCCAATCGTATTTAACATATTCCATGCCTCATTAATACACAATCGTGCGTCATTAACTATTTTAACAAAATTCTCGAAAATTTCCTTAAATCCTCTAGTCAAAAAACATCATAATTTTTGTAAATGAAAAATTTTTCATGAAACATTTACTGCAGTTGCCTTGAGGTGGTCTCCAATACATAACAGCATCGACTCCCTCAACTGGCAGATCTCCTTCGACGTGTGTCAACGACAAGGAATACCTTCTCGTTAGCTGATTTAGCATCACTTTAAGTAACAACGATGGCAAACACGAGGATATCAATCCGCAGGACTCTTCGGCCGCAGTAATGGCGTACATCGCACTTTGTTTCGATCTTGCCTCTCGCACGTTCTTCTGGATAACCTGAAATGAGCACGTGCATTATCATCTATCTTTATTATTCGATAATTTCCATCGATATTGATTTTTCGACGAAGGATGTGAGTCAATGATGCTGGAGCTAAAATAAGAGAGCTGAGAGAAACTACTGAATCTCTTTTCTGACATACGATTGCAACGAACACAGAGAGATTGTTGACCTATAATGCAGAATATGTTTTAAAGAGAATGATATTAATATCCAAGATAACGAGCACAATAAGTTGCTAAATCAGGAAAATTGGGTCAAACGATGAAGGCGTATCGTCATTACGCAGTTTGTTTTCATCCGGTAAATTTTAAGCTAATTTTATCCTACTTTGCCGTTTAAATGGAGAACCTGATACAGTGGCAGATATTTTACTTGTGAGATTAAAGAAACCTATTTTATTATGAATTTACAATACTGAGGACTATCGATTTCAATTCGGATTATTACATTATTACTTATATTAAATTACACAAATTATTAATGTAAAGTTAGATAAATTAAGAAAAGAGGAAGTAAAGTTATCTTTAACTAACTTAAGCAACAAAATTATACAAGACATACAAATAGTCATACCTGCAAAATTTCAACCAGATCATCTTCAAATAACGGAGTCTTCGTAGGAAGTGCAAGACACAAGATACCTCTTCCTTCATGATTCTGCACAAATATCGCTCTCTGTCTAACGAACTTGCCAGTAGCGAGCACGTCATCCGGTATTCTAACGCCAGAGTGCCGGAAGTACTCTTTAAGAGCATCTACGGTAGCAGCCAACAAAACTTCAGCCTCTGTCGCGCCTGTCATACTGGAAATTTTTCGAAGAATATCGAGCTCAACCTCCTCCGACCAAGCAACCACCTTTCGTCCGCAAGGAGATGTAGTTTGAAGACGGTTCGACTGTGGATGCTTCAAGAATAATTCCTCGAAGATTGTTTTTGGCGCCTTTATCGCGATCCACGTGATGGACAGCGCTTCTATAGTGGCTTGATATATCAAAGGAACGTAACACCATAGCATGGAAATTAAAGTATCCGGATAATAATGTTTATGACGTGATTTCAGGGCTCGTAATTCTCGAACGAGTAATATTGGTGTTTTCAGAGTCAACGTGATTGCGAGATACCAACACCATAGAATGGAGGCACAAAGGAATTCCAGAGGGTTTAAAGATTTTAATAAAGCACGTAGAAACACGGTGTGTCCGATATTTCGTTTGCTGACTTCTCGTTGGAAGATGGAGAAGACATCGAGAACTCTGGGTCCCTCTCCTTTTCTGTACTGCCTGCAGTGAAGAAAAATAGGTCGATAAGAAACTGGAAGAATGAGACACTTTAAAAATTTGTTTAAAAAATAATTTAAATTAGTTTAGTCGGAATCGTATAGTTGAATGTATATATAGAGCTTTATAGACCAAACTACGGTGAATATTAGGGGTGGTTTTTTTAGTAAATTATCCTTTATATTACTTTTAACATCACAATGATCTTCGATTTATATAAACAAACTGTTAAAAAAAATTATATTTATATAAAAAGCTATATAAAGGATTAATAAAAAGTCCTAAAAATTATTTCCATAAGAAATTATTTAAAACGAGGATAAGCTATATTAATATTTTTAACCTTAACTGCTGTAAGTTTCTCGTAGCGATACCTAAAAAGTGCTCGTAAATCTACACTTCGTTAATAAGATTAAATAATGTCAATCTACTGAATCATTGTCTTCGATACATTGGTGTAACTTCATTCGCTTCTCTTCTCGAATATACAACGTACTTTAACTAACTCAGATCATCGAAAACAAAAAAATTACTTCTACAAAAATTAACAAATAATCTAAGACATTATCCTATACCTTGTCATTTCCTTTACCGAAGAAACTAAAACGATCACACCGATTTTCGAGCATTGAACGATACCGAGCTGCTTCTTTAGAATCTCTGGTCTTTCATTCGGGTCGTTATTGTACAAAAATTCGTTCCAGTAATTGCTGAAGCTCTCTGTAAGCTTTTGATAAAGTTTTGGAAGTGCTGATGGTTCGGAGTAAAGATTCGTGAAAGGAGAATCCACTTCCTGACATGCCCAATCATCGGTAGAGTATCTCAATGGAAGGAAATCGGCCAACGCTAAGTGTTCTTGTCGAAGAAGTAGATGATGAACCCTCACTAGACAGATTTGATACTCCTCCCCGCGAAGGAAACAGTTTATCACGTGTACCTGCCATGGTGGTTGCTCCGATGGGAAGAATTTCGACGTGAGATCGCTCACATACTCCTAAAATGCATGAATCTGCTGCAAAAGCTACATTACAGAGATGCTTGCCTTCAAATCCGCGATTTAGAACTTATATGAGATAATTATTTTAAATCTAATGAAATCCAGTAACGAGTTACACGTATTAAATAATAAAACGCACAAAAAAGTATAGGAAAAAAGAAAGATAAAAATATAATTTCAGAAATTGATTTTTCAGAAAATGCAAAATAGGAAAAAGTGATTCTATTAAAATATATATAACATAAATAAGTAATTGGCGGAAAAATGAAAAATAAAGCTAAAAACTTTGAAACGTAATATAATATAAGATATAAGGAAACCATTGAAGATTTGGATTTGTAAAACCGACCTGAATGTTAGACTCTGTGATGGGTCGGCCTCTAAAGGAACATGGTGAATTTAACAAATGATTGTCCACGGAGAAATAATCAAGATCTTTCCATACATAAAGACCCCATCTTGTAGATAAGCCTGCACGAAGGAACCTCTTGGACGAAGTTAAATGTATTAAATGGCCACGAATGCTTTCCGCAATCGAACGGCCTTGAATCAGCAAAGTATAAATCCCCTACATTTAAGAACAAAATTCATGTAAATTGATAACCTTGAAGTCAAAAAAATAATTAAAATTGAACAGTTTTTTGTACCTACGTGATTTCGAAATTGATCCAGAATTGTTCGAATGCTGTTTTCCTCCACTACGACCACGTTTGGATATTTCCATTTTACGAAACGTATCCAACCCTTTCTTGACCATGTTAATACTTAAAGTGAAAGAAACGTATATTTTTTTTCTATGGTAATGAAATTTGACCATATGGCATATATCAGAAGTTTTGAAAATAAATGTTCAAGTTTTAAAAGTAAAAAAATGAATTGGAAAATGAATTCTTTAAAATTTTTGTCCAGAATATTAATTTTTGTAGCACTATTGTTATAAAAATACTTTGTAATAAAATTGGAAATATTTTAGAAATTCGTATAATCGTTAATCTTACATGATTCGATAATTAATACAAAATTCATTAAAAGTGCATTATCACGAAAGAATTCCTTTTTTAATTATCTTTCTGCATTATCTTCCATTAGTAAAGCATTTTACATTAATTATTCTAAAAACCATTTTGTAACAAAATATACCATTTTCCTTGAAATAGAGTATCCCTTCACCCTTAAACCAATTTTGAATTTGATCATTTGTTTCCAAGATAACCGAGTACGATAATTGTCACTTAACTTTAAACAAATTGTCTAGAATGATTATCTCGTTACTTGTGTTTACAATTCTGAAATATTTCGTTGAACCGATATCTGAGACGAAAAACAAACATATAAAAATCGTCTGGTGTTATACAAGTCACTTCCTATCAACCATTACGAATTTTTCGTGTATCCAAAGTGCAACATATTACGATAATTAACCGGATATTCAGCAAAAAGAATCGTATTTGTATAGCATAAACGATTTCGAAGAAACGTTTATAACTACTAAAACGAAATAATTCATCTAATCAAATACAAATAAATAGACTCAGCAGCAACAAGCTTTCTAGTCATTATAAATTATCTACATAAATAGAATATCACTAGAAAGAACATTTATAGTAACATTAATTTCTCTATGGCTGTTATTTACTTATTATTTATTATTTATTCATACATAAATAATGCTATTCGAAGTAGAAATAAATTAACAAAAATTTGCAAGACTTTACAAAAAATGACATTTAATGTAATATCAAGAGAGTAATAATGTAAGAGAACAGTAATAATGTAACATTATCATTTATAACACGAAAGGAACAAATCGCGTAAATAATTCAAGACATTATTCGTTTTCACAATATCTACACAATCAGATAATAACATTTATCTATAAACGTTTTCTAAAAATAACTTCCAAGAATGTATCAATCGAATTCATCACTTCATTCGTTTAAAGATCGTCAGACAAATGGATTACGATATTACGAATATTTGAATATTCGATCTCAATCGAAGAAACATTTTTGAAAGATAGTTACCCGGATAAACGAGCGACAGAAGCGGCACCAAAATGACCAGCAGCAATAAGCTGAAACACAAGTGCAACAGCAACGAGATGCCAAGGATGTCCAGAAGGTTAAACGCGGCCATGATCTTTGCGATAATCCTCGTACCTTTCGAACTTCTTTACAACGAACAAATCAAAACCGGAAGCGAATTGACAACGCTCGCTGAATCAGGCAAGTTTCAATTGTAATTGTACAACCGGTCGCGTGTTCGAGAATCCACGGTGCTACTGACTGCTCTTTATAGATGATTATGTTCCGAAGACGTGACCCTCGACCCCGTTGCAAAAGGCCAGCCAGACGGTAGTCCGATGATATTGCGAAGCCACTGTTCTTAGTCTCGTTCCCCTCATCCCCGGGAATCCTCGGGGATCCATGACATTTGCCGGGGAATCATGATTTATCGTCATCCATGCCGCCAAAACCAATCACGATTATGTTTAATTATAGGCAGTCAACTCAGATAATCGCTGAATCTTTCGGCCTTTGGTCCAGATTAAGGAATCATGAAACCTATACTGGAATATGGAAATCCATCGTTCGTTAGGAGATAAAGAATTTTTGGCGATTAGCAATGGAGATTTCTCATGCCAAGAGTTAGGAAATCCCTCATAACGAGCTAACGATAATTTTATTCTCAGCAGAAGTCAATGGAACAGTAGCTGTTTTAATGGTAATTCTTGTTATGACGGGAGATCGTCGGTTGGTGATTCTAATACTTTAAGACAGAATTTTAATTATTTTTTTGAATAATTAATTTATTCTTTACAACTTTATTTGTTCATCATGAAAAGTGATTGACACGTGAGTTTGATATATAATCAGATCATTTCCTGAATATTTGTAAAAAATTATGCATTTAAGAAGAAGAAATAAAACAATAAAAATGGTTAAAGTAAAGTCAAAATTTAATATTCAATATTTAGTGATAAATTTTCGTAATACAAGAAACTGAAAATGTTGTATGCCAAATATATTCTATATACAAATTTAAAATGTTATTATATTACAAAAAGAACAACAATCTCTTTCTGTAGTAATGATGAGTTTTATTATAATAATTTGACAGGTACAATTTGCAAGAAAAAACACATGTATGTCAATCTTTTATTTTATTAAAAATGTATATATATTTACAAAATGATATATTAATATACATGTATATTTACAATCGAATTCTTTTAAAAAGTAACCTGCTTTATATAAAATATGTAATCATTTCTAGATTCTAACTCTGTCTAATTAATTAAGAGAATATCTTATTCCTCCAAATTTATGAAATTTCTTTAAATAGCCTATTAATTGTAATAGACGAAATGTAAATAAAAAGTATTAAATAGATTTTTAGAAATTTTCTCGTTACTCACGAGCAAACGTCAGACCTTAGAAATAAAATTGCACCAATAATATCGCATATAATATGCAATAATTTTATGCAAATTTTAATATCAGTTAATTTTTTAATTTCATGCACCACCATCCACTAATGGTTTATTAGGTTTATCTCGCTTAGCATTATGATAGAGATACGAATGTACACGTAGACTGTTACTGTTCTTATATTTATTACCACAAAGTTTACACGTTAGACTTTCAAGCGGACCGTGTATATATCGGACATGTAGTTTCAAATTTTCCTTACGCGTAAAATGACGAAGACACCATGGACATGAGTACATTCGAATAACCTTGCCTCTTTCCATACGTAAAGTTGGTCCCAGTTCGGATATAACGCGCAAAGTGGTTTCCAATGGCAAACTGTTGTTGGAAATACCTTTAACAGTTCGTCGACCTTTACTATGACAACCAGTTTCGTACGTAAATTCACTTTCAAAACCAGTCATGTTACTTAAACCTATTAAATAGATGTAAATAAAATACTAATAATAATTCCAATTATTTAATATTTAATAAAATAAATAAAATATTTTAAAAACATATTAAAATATTAAAAAAAGTAAAATTATAAGTATAAGAAATAAATAGATTTATCAAAATGAGAAGATAGAAATTAAAAACTTACCAAATGGTTGAGTTTGTGCATCCTGATTGTAGGGAACTAACTGCATATCTGGTACATGATCTGTAAGATATATTATTTTTCTTTTCATTGTTTGTTACCTGAACTTACTGAATCACATAAAATTATCAAATTTAGATTTGAAACACCCAGTAAATAAGCATGCAAATATATAATTGATTTCATCATAAAATTAATTTGTGCTACAAATATTGAAAAAATTTGTACAACTGTACATCCATCGACGAAAACAGTTGAGTGTGTCAAATCTTTTGCATCTCGATAAAACAGCCAGTAACTGTAGTCTCTTCGCTAATTTTAATCATCTTGTTTTGGAGTATTCATTCATTCATTCAGCAAATGTAATATTTTTCAGCTTCAAATGATGTCTTTATAGTTATCAGCCTACTAATTACATAACTTTTTAAATGATTATACCAATAACATGTATAAAAATAATACCTTTTGTTTGTAAATTTTCTTCAGGTTTATAAAGTGACTCATTGGGCAAACATGTCTTGTATCCCGTTTCTGTATCTACATCAAGTGTATAATCCAATGGTTCATGCTTTGCTGTTTCTGTATGACCTATATCAGCTGTACAGTCTAGTGGTTCATCTTCTATATTTGTAGCAGCATTGTCTTGCATCATATGCATATCATGTATATTATAAGTTGAATCAGAAGTAGAATCTTGTTGACAACACATATCACTGATATTTGTGTTCTCTATAAATTCATTATTATGTAATTTATCTTTTGATAAAACACATTGTTTTTGGCATTGTTGACTCTTCTGTACAAATTGTTTTTGTTCCTCAAAAACTGGGGCATTTACATCTGATTTAACAGATTTAATACTGCTTCTCTCTGTATTAAATATTTGATCCAAGTTTTCTGCATTCTTCGTTAAAGTTTCTTCAAGTTTCTATAAATTAATAATAATCCTCTTTATCTCATGATTATATTATTAAATTTAATTAAACATACCTCTTCTGTTTCAGTGGTTAAGCCTTTTATTTGTAAAGTTTCTGCTACTTTCAAGAAACTAGCAATATCTTCTTGCTTAATATTAACTTCTCCCTGATACATAAAGTGAAGCATTGCTGATAAATCACGATAATTGACATCTTTTAAGATCACAATTGGATGTTTACAAGAGTTTCCCTGTATCATTGCAAGAAGTTTAATATCATAAAATAACCATCAATTACATTAAATAAATTAAAACATACCTTGAACAATTCCCTGAAATATGTGCTACAAACTGACAATATTAATTTATGTGCACGGAGTATTTGACCCTCTGCAGCTAATGTTACGTCAACCAACTGTTCATCAGTTAACAATGTATATAATCCAGAAGACAAATTTCTTGGAAAACTATTCCAAACTAAGGAAAACTGTTCTCCAGACATTATTTTTTTAAAAATATTTAAATAACTGAAAAATAAATATCAAGAAAAATTATTATTCATAAATACTGGTAATTTATAGAATTTTTATTGTATTTCATTTTAATTAATATTATTTAAACTAACAAAATTTATTTACTATTTATACTATTCAAATTAATAATTACAGTTTATATATTAAGTGATGACAAAACTTTTCTTTCTTCAAAATAAAGAAATATTGTCACCATTAAAGGGCAATTTGAGAATAAAGGAACAGTAACAGTAACAGTATTATAATTTATTTGAAAAGTTAACCTTTATTAAAACGCAATTTGATGATCTGACGAAAATCATTCACTAAAACTGAAGTTCGTTATGTAAACAATACGATTTTAATAATTGCAGTACAATTTACACTTAAAAAAATTGATTTAAATTCATTGTCACCATTTTTTTATAGATTTTTGAGGATTACAAAGAAATGTTTCATCAATTTCTAAGCAGTTCATATCTAATTTTAAATTACAATTTATAATTTATAAAATAAATATTTTGCGAATCAAAGTGTTCAGAGTGATGTAAGATGGACGAACAAATATCAATAACTTAAGATAAATTATCGCGTCTTTTTAATTATAAAAGAATTTTAGTTATACTAACTTTATTTTACATTTAGAAAGTGCAGGCTATGACAAGATATTTAATGTAATATCACACACTGTCAATTTTTGTTGTCTTTGTTTAATGCGTAATACTATGAATTACGCTATATAATGTCGAAACACAGCCATTTTGATGACAATTATTTGTATATTATAATTTTATGATAATAAGTTCATCATTGTAAAAAATTGTCTAATTTAATATATATAGATAACATATATATAACATAAACTGAAAGCTAAACTTCTCAAGAAAGACGAATATCGCTAATTCAAATCATTTATTAATGTTTGTAATATTACGTAGAATCTTAATATTAAATAGTCACACAAAATTTATATCTAAATCAAAGTGTACATGTCATAATTTTTGTAAAATATTTAAATTTCCTGTGTGTCTTCTTCGCGTAAACGGAAACATTTCCATAAACCATAACGAGCTTCCCAATCTACAAAAAATAAATCTGGTTTGTTCCAAAGTATATGGTGTGCTGCAAAATTGTATTGAGACTGAATAGGAGGATTTAAATGTGGAGCCCATTGTGCTCTTTCTGTCACTATTTTATTCACATATTCATAGAATACTTTAGCTTTATGAATCCAACATAAAAGAGACATAACTGCTATCACTGTTGCATGTAAATGGTAAGATACTTCAACAGGATATTTATTTTGTTTCAAAGTTACATCTTGTAAATTCATTAAAAGACAAACTAGAGCTGCAGCTGTAAATCCACATGGAACTTCTATAGCAATGAGACAAATAGTACAATAAGTTGTTTCTAAATTCATACGGGATGCACAATGATTTATGATACTCTTTAGGAGGCTATCGTGTAAAATTTCTCTATGAAGTTTACAGAATAGTTTATCTTCTTTAAAACATGTACCTATTGTTAAATCAAATTGAGTATCTTCGAAAAATATCTTAGGTGTATCAAAATTCATTTTATTCTCTTTTCTATCAAGCAAATATTGAATAACTCGGTTACCTAATAAGTTGGTTATTTTACTTGTTGATGCAATCATTTCCATTAATAATGGAAATATCTTAGGAGTTAAAGTTTTTTCATATAATGTTACTTCATGCACATAAGCTGTATATTCAAGTGTACTACCAAATTCTAAGATAATTTCCTCTGTCATACCTTCTTCAACAACCCATGAACACATGTGTTGAACTATGATGAGAAGATGATCATTATATATGTGTTTTACCATATTAAGAATGCAGACTTCCAAACCTTTCTTAAGTGTTGCATATGGTATAAAATTAACAGTTGAATGTGTACTAGTTATGGAAATATAAAAAAGATTTAAAATTCTTTCAATAACAACCACTGTATCGTGTGTATCTGGCCAGTCATAAATATCTAATAATTCATATAATATTCTAATGATCTTTCTTGTATCTTCTACATTTATGTTTGGATCCTCAATTTTATCCCATATAGCATGAATCATTAATGATGCATTAACACCATTTTCCAATAGATTACACATAATTTCAAAACAAAAAGTTTCAAACTCCCAAAGCTTATCTTCATAAATCATGTTAAGTACAGCTTTAAGAATTTCATTAGATTTTTCAGGAACGTATATTTGTAATAAACTATTATAACATTCTTTTGCAAGACGACATTTTCTTCGTCGTTTCCATTCACACACGATATCGGTTTGGGATAAAATTTCATTATAATAAAAGAAAAGTTTAAGGGTACATACAATAATAGCATTTGGTTCATAAATTATTAATTGCTCTTGTAATGCATTTCTTGTTATACTAATTATATGATTAAGCATTTTGTCTTGGTCGCGTGGTGAATGTAGAGATACAGTAGGACATATGTGATGTACATAATCCATTTTAGTTTTCAATTCTTTCTCAGTAATCATTATTAAATAATATTATATTAATACCGTAAAGAAACATTATAAACAGAATTTTGGTTATAAATATGTTATAAGTAAATACAACTGAATTTGCAGTTTTTAATATTCGACTATTTTTCTTTACAAATTTTATACAGTTTACTTTGCGTAAAAAATAAAATACGCGTGAAATTTAAAAAACAATTTTCTACTATATATTTACATATATGTATACATAATATTCATAGATATGCATTGCAGCTATTCAGACGTTTGTTTTAGTTTTTACAAAATCATTTTTAAATACGAATTTCATCATATGTATGAATCTCTTAATTTAAGAAGTAAACTACAAAATAGTATTATTGCTATAAAAAAGCTGTTAAGCTTTTTTAGAACCACAGGTCACCACCAACATCTTCTTCTGGTTGCGGTAATTGTTGTGGCGTTTTTTGTTTTTGTTTCGTGTTATTTTCTGCATCATCGTCACTTTCCGATACTGCAAGATCATCCTGTATCTTATTTTCATTTTTCTCTGCTCTTGCTGGTAAACCAGCTAATAAGAAGTCCGAAGGATCGTAATTTGGATCAACATCCATACTTTCATCTGCAATTTAAAAAACGATTTGCTTAATACAATAATAAAATGATAAATAAATTTATTAAGTGTTTCGTTTCACAATTACCAACCTTGCTGTAGCAATTGTTGGTCCGCCATATAAAAACCGACATTACCCAACTGAACCATTGCTTCTGCCGCTTGTTGACTATCATCATCCGCCAACACTACTCCACCTTCTGCATTTTCTCTAACTTCGTTCAACTCAAGTGTTTCCATTTCAGCATTCTCGGACTGTTCATCCGCACCAAATGGAACCTCATCGAATTCATCTTCACTAGAGAATTGTAAATCTAAAACGAAGTTGATTAATGACATTTTCATTTAAGTAAAACCAAACACATACATTTAAAATTTGTTTTACCTTCTTCAAGAACATCTTTCTTTTTCGAATTTACACTTCTGCTACCATCACCTTCCATATCTCCTTCCACGTCTACAAAGTCAAAATCATCCATATTCGATTTTCCGAATGGATTTTCTGGTGAACTTGTTTGACTCTGTAAAAGATATTAAATTTATTAAGTTTCCTATTAAGAAACGAAAATTTTATATAGATAGATATAATACCCCTCTAAGTTCTGGTTCTACAATAGTATAATTCTCTTCATCTGGACCAAGCCATGAAGGATCAATGTCTGCTTGTTCCATCGCTCGTTTTTGTACCAATAATATATTATTTTCTAACTGTGTTAAATGTTCATCATACTACAGAACATAATTTATTATAATTATTATAAGTATACAGAAGATTATAAGTACGAAATTAAAATATAATAAATATTTTGGAAAATGTCTCTAATTACCTCATCTAATGTTTCTTTACAAACTTTTACTAACAATTCTGCCTTTTGTGTAAATGGAGATTCTTTTCCATTATATACTGTACAATTTTCCAAAATTTGTTCTATATCCCTAAGGAACTCATGTCGATTATGATACTTATGTGCTGAAAGAAATAAATGTAATTAAATAACTGTCAAAAAATTGGAAAGATTTCCCCCTATTGTTAATATAGTTTAACTTACCAGACACTTTTTTAGATATAGTTTCTAAATCCATAGGTCTTTTAATAACACTATAATAATCTTTCACTAACTTCTTATTAACTGGTTTTAAGAATGGCCAAGCTTCTGTCATAGATTTCAACTTATTATTTACAACATTATCTAAGATAAAAGTGAGTGCAACTTGATCATTATCATCCAATAAAGGATTAATTGCTTTTTCTAATCTCATTAGACGATCTTCTTTTTCTCCAAGTCTTTCTACACAAGTTTCAAGCATACGCTTAGCCGCTACCGTTAATGAACTCTTTGGACCATTATACAAGGTTGAATTTTCTACAATTTGATTAACGTCAGCTAAAAACTCTTCTCGACTTTGGTATTTCTTTAATCTCAGATTTTCACGTATAGTTTGTAAATCCATAGGTCTTTGTATAATTTTATAATAATCAGGAACAATCTGATAAAAAAATTATAAAATATGTAGATAAATTGTTTAACTATAAATAATTAAAAAACTAATTGATATGAAAATGTTTAATCAAAATAAAACATACTTTAGCATTAACAGGAAATAAGAAAGGTTGAACATCAGGTAAATCTCGCATTTCATTAAGTATACTTTCTAACATTGTAGACATAACAACAACGGGATCTGTTCTACGTCTATTAGCAGGTCTCTGTTGTCGTTTAAGATAATCACAGTGATCATCTCCAGTAGCTCTCCTTCGTTTTTTAGAGTTGACGGCCTCCTTAGGTACTTTCAAAAGTAACGTACGTCTCTTCATCTCTTCAGCATGCTATAAAAAGCAACATTAGAAATTAATATATCCCTTTAATATTAATTTTGTTTAAATGGCTAAATCAATTACCTTAATTAATTTAGACGATAATTTCACTTTAGTTCCATCTACATTCACGAGATCCTGGTCATCCGTATTAAGTTGCTTCTCAATTTCTTCCTCCTGTTCCTCTGTCATTGCAACATTCACTGGTGCTGTAGTTATACTATTTTGATATAAGGGGCAAGCTTTATTCGTACGCATGTGACCTACATTACCGCAAGCACCACATTTCAGTTTAAGATCTGGTTTAAGTTTAGGTTTTTTACGTTTAGAAGGAGAAACTTCGGGTTTAGGATGTTTAGAAGCAGGAGAAGTAGATTGGAAAGAATTACAGAATGGAAGGATACTGTTTGAGGATGTAGTGATTGGAGTGTTGGTATTACTACGGTCGAACATATTACTCGATGATGCATTGCCCCCTGCCATTGGACCACCAAGCATACGTTCTCGTTCTTGGTTCCGCTTAATTCTGCGTAATTGTTCCTGAATTCTTCTTTTCTCCCTCTTCATTTCTTCCTTTTGAGCCTCATCCAGCGTTGCAAATTGTTTAATGAAAGTTTCATCCTTAGAATTTCTAATTTTTATGTAAGTATCTATTACTGCTGATTTTCTTACTAATTCTACCCTTGTAAATTCTTTTCCCTCTGGGTTTCTAAATGTTCGATAAATCTTAAGAATTCTACCCTGTTGCGAATTAAAATTATTTACAGGACTATCTTCTTCATCATCCTTCTTTTTCTCTTTAGTTTTCTTATCCTGTTCTTGAACCTCACCCATTAGCATTTTTCGTAATTCATGTCGTTGTTGTTCCTCTCGTTCGAGAGATAATTGAGTACTAGTTTTCTTGTTAGAAAGCATGTTTTCTATATTTTTACCCATCTCTTCTATATCAGAACTGTCTTCTTCAGAACTCTCGCCCTCATCTGTACTCAACACTTCATTAGAAGATAAAACACGATTTTGTAAATCGAAAATTCTTTGGCATTCTTCTTTATATCTTTCTTGATGTTCAGCTATAGAAAATCGATTTCCGCGTGAAAACTTAGTCATACCCTCCTCTCCAGCTTTAGCTTTTTCTGTAGATAATGTTCTAACAACATCAATGACTTCCCATCGCGATAATTTTTTTATTTCTTCTTCAGGCACACCGAATTTTCGAAGTAACGCTTTTGCATTATTTAATGACAACCTTCTTAAATCAGCATCAGTTCCAGTTACAGTCCTCTTTGGTTGAGCTTCTTGTTCTTCCTAATTGGTATTAAAAAAACGATACTGTGTACAAAAGTATATTACATATGAATGTACACAAAAAGATTACAACAGTAAGATGCAATAGATACTTACCTTACTAATTGTGGGTTTATTTGGTACTCGAACATAAGAAAATCCTTCACCACAACCTGTAGGATCAGCTGGTCCTGCCAGTTGTAACAAACACTTGCCTTTCATAGCTTGGATATATGCCCTTGTTGTATTCCAAGGTGCGACTTTAACTTCATCATCCATTTTTAATTGCATTTCTTCATCATCATCATCTTGAGGGGTAAATAGGAACTTTTCACCATAACCAGCATCTTTTAATCTTTGCTCTGCTGCAATCATACTAAAATAAGCACAGCATTGTTCAGGTGACACCATTGCTCGAATTTCTTCTTCAGTTGGTAATCTGAAGTCAGGTTTTATAACCCACCAATTTGAATCCATGCCTAATACAAAAAATATAATATTTATTAAATTTAAAATACTTGAAAAAAATTTGAAAAACTTAAGGATTAATGTATAGATAATAATCATATATCTAATATACATATAATAATAATATATTTAACATTAGTTATACTAAACTGCAAAATTGCTTTTGCATTATTATTTATTGTTACATTTATTAAACTATATTTCTGTATACATACCTGTCCTTTTAAAATCAGCGCATAGTTTCAAACGTTTCCTAATACTACTTTCACTATGCGAAGGAAATGCTTTCTTAATATCATCCATTTTAATACGTCGAGGTGTATCTCGAGATTTCCAAAATAATCTGTATATAAACACTTGTAAAAAATCTCTTACAAAATTATTAGCTCTCTTTGAATTAGGACCTGGAACTTCATATAATGGACACTCTTGACCAGCAACAAATAAAGCATCCATTTCTCTGATATAATATTGTTGTCTATATGTACAAACAAAATGATTAATCATGATACATTTTTCATACTGTAATAGAAAAATGTAACTACAATACCTTGTCCTGATAATTAAGAAATCTGTCTCTGGAATTTTATGTTCATAAATTGGCGCTCTGTACATATTGTTTTCAACTGCTTGTATGCTTTGACCAGGTGTAAGAATCCCAAGGAATGGACTAGTATGTGCATAAGCAGTTTCGCCATATTTGTATTTTTGTGGTCCTTGATCTTTTCCTGCCTTCCTTTTATAATAATTTTTCACCTTGGAGCACATCCCTACTTGATTCATTAAAGGAGGATGTTCTTCAGAAAATTCAACAAGCACTAATTCACCATCTTTGCCAGTTAAATCTTCTGGAGTTCT